AAGTCCCACCAACTCCTGTGGAAGAGGGGAGAGGCTGCAAGGTACCTGTGACAGAGCCCAGGGCGTGAGGACACTTACGTCGTGAGGGTGTTTAAGCCACATGCTTTCATCTTAAGCATGCGGTCTTCCCAGTATTCCCTGGGGACTCGGAAATAGTGCATTGAACCTCCGAATATGCGGAAAGGCATGCCTTCTAGGAGGAACTGTGAGTTTTCTGTCTGCAAGCCTAGGGTCCTCCCCCATAACCGCAGAGGGATCAGCTCACTCCAGTTAAACCTAGAGGAGAAAGAGAGACATATGAGCACCCAGTCTCTAGTAAAGAAATCCGTGCTTATCGTAAAGAAATGTCTCCCTAAGAGAGGCTGCTCATTTCTCCCTACCTGGCAGGATGAGCTCTGACCTTCCTACTTCTTAAGTAAACCATGCTCTTTCTCATATAGAGCATATAGATTTTTCAGCAGAAGACTGTAAAGCAGATGAAAGATCTGCCCAAGATGTGTACCTAATACTCATTTTGCTAGTAGCTTCCATTCCGAATGCCCCAAACCACTGCCATATTCTGCAACTGAGATGTAGCACTACTGAGGCAGAGATCATGAAGCTAACCCATTGAAAATACAAGATGGGCAAGTTTTCACTCAAGTTTTCAAAACAGATTTCCCTGTTTTGCAGTAGGCTGACATATGTTGGCCGATTTCCAGATCCTTACTCCAGCGGCGGCTGCATTTCAGTATCGCTGCATCGAATGTCTTGTGATCTCCGATACCTTCCAACTCAATGCATGGAAAAAATAAAGAACCCTCATCTGTTCACGGTGGATGGAGAACCTTCTCCTTAATTTAAAGAAACTCTCTGGGTTATATTCATTACTCAAGAAAGACTAAGTCAGCTGTCATCACAAACCTACCTCTGCCTGGATCACTGCTTATATTAACTCCTCAGTATGTTATTTGTCAAAAGAACCGGAGCAAAGGAGCTACCAGATTCCACAGCACTTACCAGCTTGAATACTCATGCTATCACAGCTCCATTCGGGTCGGTTCCTGCATGCAAGAAACTACTTCCTATTGCCTTACAGGGCTCCCCAGTTCATTCTGGCTGAACCAAGAAAACATGTTACCAGCTAGTCCAGATCCAAAGCAGTTACACTGCCTCTGTCAGACCCTCCCGGTTCCACAACTCTGAATACACAGAAGAGTTAGACAATAGCAGCTTGTTCCTCTGAGGAGTTATCACAGCCAGATGCGAGGGATGAATTCCCATCTCGAGAAAGCAAGAGTGACCCACGCTTTTGAGAGAAATGTCACATTTGGAGAAGAGGGAAATACCTAAGCCTCTGGCTGTTTTCTATACTACATGTAGAGCGGGCATTAGCAGAGGGGGAGGACTTCTCAGAACTTGCGGCTTAGGGGGATTGCTAACCAGGAGCCTGCAGCGATTACCTGGCCTCCGACACAAGACAAGGAGACTACAAAGGAACTAAATCTAAGACTTCCAGGATACTGCACGAGCTGGCTGACAAGCACAGAGGGTACCTGTGTAGCACAGCATTCTCACAGGGCTCTGAAACAATTGGCAGCAGGCATGGGTAATACCTGGAAAAAGAAGTCTAGATTAGATATTCACTGTCTTCAGTCAGTGAGCGCTCGTGTGCGTTTACTGTCAAACCATTTGTAAAAAATAGTGTTGAGCAAGGAGACTGTAATGTATCCTGTTCAAAACGTGGTGCAGCAATCGCAGAGCTTTTATAATTTTTTGAGCGCAGCTCAAAGTAGGAGAAATAAACACAAAATACCTAACTGCCGTATAAGGGTGACTGCCCAAACAGGAACAGGATCAAAAATGTTCATCTACACAAAAAAAAAGGTACAACCAGAGAATGATGACGTAAGGCTAGGAAACACGGCATTGTTCCTGAACAATTACTATGACTTTTATCAGCAGGGGCGATGCTTCTCAGTCCACACACAGGATATTCTTTGGCTGCCTGCCCCTCTATTCTGCGAGAACGACATCTTGCACAGATTGCAACTTTTGCAAATCAGATCCTGAAACTGCAGCTATACCTACTTCAATTGCTTTATGGCAAGCGTGAGGCGGAAAGCTCAAAGGGGTCTGGAGGTGCAAAACTCCAATTTTTAGAGATTAGGTTGGAAAATGCGTAAGTTTCCAATTTGTTTCTGAGCTAGGTAAAGCCTTAAATTACCCCTGCACACAACGGTACTGCTTTCTGCCCCTGGTGCCAGAATGAAGGCTGTACATAGACAAAAATAAACAAATCACTTAAGCTCATCTTCTAAATCCTGGACATAACTTAGTTGGCAACTTTCCGTCAAGCTTCCTATCTTAAGACTCCCCAGCTCCAGTGTTTTTTCTCACCAAGAAGGACTGGTAGCAAGCTCCCAAGCTCCCAATATTTTCAACTTATTATCTTGGATATCGTGAAACCCACATCTCTCAGTAGGATCTGTTCAAGTGACTTCTGAAAAAAACTTTTGCGACACAGCAGAGCTTCAGCCTGTTACCCCCAGCTGGATTTCCACAGCTCAAAGCCCACCTGGGCAATATGCTACCTCTTGAGAGTGACATATAGCTCCCAGTAGATTTTTTTTCTCATTTCTATAATGACAGCACAGGTCGCAAAGAGTCTTTTTTTGGTTTTGCTAAAGGTTACTGACCTACTTTGTCCCTCTGTAGCCATCTCCTTCCTGCTTCAGGGAAGTTTCTTTTTTTTGCAAAAAAATAGCATTAGATTACCAAGTCCCCCTGGAACAGAAGCTTCGAAATTGGGTTGGACAAGCTAGTCCTTAATGAAATGATCTGTCTCTGTAAGATGAAAGTTGAAGTGCAAAACACTCCACGCAGAATAGGAAAGTCACAGTTAACTGCTAAACCAGACAGCTACGCTGAGGAGTTCGTGCCTGTAAAACAAAAACCTAGCTGAAGTCCTCTCTGCATGAGACCAGAGATTTAGCTTTGGTATTGGTCTACCACATGCCCAGAACAGCTGGGAGAAAAAGCTAACAGAAAAGAAAGTCAAAATAGAGGGAAAAGCATGGAGACCATTAGCTTGTTTTGTCAATACTAAAGGACATGCTTCAGAGGACAAGGGACTTCACAGTTAATCCCTGAGCTCTACTTAGACCTGTCTCAGGGGGCTTTTCTGTTTATTCTGGGCTTCCTCTGCCCAGGGAAAAGTGAAAGCTCTGAGTTGCCTTCACTCACGACTCGCTGTCTTGTGGCAACCGAGGTCCTGTGTGGGTCAGACAAGCCCCAGGTGCACACTGATGGCAGCTGGGATAACGATCGCTGCATTTGGCAGTACCGCGTATTCTCGGGTGACCTGGGCCACGGAGAAAAACACTGGGTACCGATGGATACGGTGGTTTATAGACACACTCTTACAGGAGACAGGCTTCTATGCTTTTATCAGGTATCGGTTTGCAATAATCCTCTGCTAAGAATATATGTGGCACAAACCCAAGACCAGCTACAAAGGAGTTTTGCTTCTAATTATGCAAAGATTTATCAAGGCTTTTCTATAGCTTTGAGGATCAGGTAACTTCCCACCATGAATTTAAGAAGCCATTATAAAACATGCAAGGTATAAAAAGGATCTGAGTGGTGGTAAATAACTACATCTTCCCTTGCCTGAATAATATCTCCAGCACTTTGCTGTCAGGGATTGAAGAGCTTCTATCGTTTGGCACGGAGAAGCTACTCTGCAGACTGGGTAGAACACGGGTCCGGGAAAGAGCATCGCCCCCCAAATGTGATCTAAACCGCACAGGATTTCAGCCAGGACCTTCAATAACTTCTTGCTACTACAGGGGGGCTACAGAGGTGCGGATGATAGACAAGAAGTTGTGCATATCACGCGCAACATATAGTTAAAGCTTTTAAATCATTCCTACGTGAAGTCAGCACTACTGTCTCCGGTCCTTCCCACGCTCCCGTCCTGCCGGAGGAAAGCTCTCCGCCGGCGACTGATGGGGAGCAGCGCGCCGCCTTTCCCTCTGCATTTCGATAAGCCAAGATGTTTGGATTTTATCGAGCCTGGGTCGCCGTAAATTAAGTCTCCAGGCAGCGAGGGGGGGGAAGCGCAGAGCTAACCGCCGTTTTCCCGGGCCCAGGAGCCCCCCCCACACACCCCGTCTCCACCCGGGCTCGGCCGCCCTCACCGCCAGGCCCCGCCCGGCGGCGAGCGGCGGCAGCCGGTGTCCCGGGGCGCGACCCCCGCCTCCCCCCCGCCGCGAGGCGGGGCCGTCCCGGTTCTCACCTGCGCAGCAGCACCCACAGCACGAAGACGAGGAGCGCGAAGCCGCCGAGGCGACGCTGCCGCCGCCCGCCGCACGGCCACATCGCGGCCCCGGCCCCGGCCCCGGCCCCGGCCCCGGCCCCGGCCCCGGCCCCGGCCCCGGCCCCGGCCCGCCGCGTCCGCCCCCGGCCCCCCCTTCCGCAGCTCCGATTGGCCGCCACCCGCCCGCCCGCAGGGTGGGGCGAGCGGCTCGGCGCTGCGGATTGGCGGCGGTGGTTGTCAGTCATGAGGCGGCGCGGCCAGCCGCAGGTACGGGGTGCTGCAGACCCCCCGCCCCGGTACGCCCCCCCACACACACCCCTCACCGCCCCGTACCGGCACCGGAGCCGCTTCCCCGCCGCGTTACCGCGCTGGGGGCCCGTCCCCTCAGGACGGCGGCGCCCGTCCGCGGCGTGAGGGAGGGGCTTGGAGCCGCCCTCCTCCTCCTCAGGGCCCGCGAGCGGCCGCCGCTCGGCAACGGGCGGGCTGGAGAAGCACCGGCGGCAGCTCCCGCTCCCGCCTCTCCCCTCCCCGCCGTGCGCTGAGAGGAGCGAGGAGCTGCTTCGTTTGGAGAGGTTAACGGAGACACTGTAAGTGAGGAAAACCCCTCAGAAACCGAACTTTTTTGCAACCCCCCCTGCTTCAAAAAGCTCCTCTGGCTAAATACCTGAAGGAAATGATCACAACTTCTGACGCCCTCGGAGAAGTTGCCGTCATGGCTTTATTGATTCCAAATCTGAGGCGGGGGGAAAGAGTTGACTTTACCGAGGTTTTTATTCCCCCTACATTGTACACAGCAGGGAGTGCCGATTGGAGGCAACAGTTATATGTTTCTGTGCAGGACCTTAGCTCTTGATTTGTACCTCTGTACTGCAAAGGCTTCTTTGAGATCGAGCAGCAGTGTGGGGTGGGAATAGGGAGAACAACAAGCAGTCGGTACTTTAGAAAAGGTGTGCTGGGAAAAGAGAAAAAAAGAGTGGTTCTAGGTAAACGAGAGGCATCCTACTCCTCAGGTAATCAGCTATTGCACTCTGCAAGTGGTCAGAACTGCAGTGCTTGGGGCTCACTTGTTCCAGGGGTGCAGACAGCACCCAGGAGGACAGGTTTCTAAGCAGAGCAACTAGTTCCCTTGACCTAAAGATTTCACTGATAGAGGAAGAGTCCTATGGCATCAGGCTGCACCTCTGCCTGCAGTTCCCATTTCAGTCCTGACTCAGCAGAGATGACCAACAGGTTTAGTGTTTCTCTTTCCAAAGCCCACGGGCTGCTTGGCACCCATCCTTAAGATTTGGAGACAAGAGGCTCGTATTCACAACTGTGATTTCTGTCTTCAGGCTGCACAATACTGGCCCAGTAACAGCAGCTCTGCCAGGCACAGAGTGCAGCTGTGGCAGCATGTGGGTGGCATCCAGCTGTGCTCCCCATTAATATAAGGCAGAAAGACTGTTTCCACAGAAGTATCCCCCTCTCCACTCCCGGGCAGAGAGTTGGTGAACAGGGGAGAGAAACAGATCAAGCTGTAACAGACAAAGTAATTTAAGGCTGGAGATCAGCTCCTGGCTTCAGCCCTGTAGCAGGTTCCTGGCCACAATCATCCGCATCACCTCATTGGTACCTGCAGAAGAATGAGGGGGGCAAAAGAAACACAGTTAAAAGATTGTCCAATTTTGCCCCCAATATAGGCAAAGAGAATTCTTCCTCAATCTCCAATCTCCAGCACAGAAAAGCTCTCCCCACCAACTGAGGTGGGATTTAGGAGGTGTTGGGCCAAAATCCAACTGCCAAGTGCCAGCACATTGCTCAGGAAAGGCTTCAGAGTGGTAGATGCTGGTGCTTCTTTTTCTTTGGGCATTAAGAGGATGTGGGCACCAGGCGTCAGGCAGAACTGAGTATATACCAACAGCCAAGCTTTCTGCTTTACTCTTTAACACATACACAACACAGAGAAAGGAAGACTGTAGACCCACTTGGTACTGGAAAGAGCATGTCCCCTATCAGGTACCCTGGCTGTAGATGAAGGGATTTCAAAGGAGGGGAAACAAAATGGTTAAGAGGCCAAATTCAGATCAGAAAAGGCCAAGACACTGTTAGGGACACAATGTCAAAGTGAAGATAGTCCGGAATCACAGGAAATGAATTGTTGGGGAGCGCTGGCACGTGTCTGTGGGAGTAATAGGATGAAATCAGACAGAGGCACCGCCAACATGACAACTGGATACCTCCCCCTGCTGTAAGACTCTTAAAATACACAGTAACTGCTACAGTACACCAAGAGCTCTTGGCCAGGGGATTCACACACATGACATGCAGGGACACCTCATGCTCAGAGCATGCTCTGAAACCCAAGAATCGCAGTCATGTGGGAAGGCGGGGGCCTCTGGAGGGTCTGTTCGCTCCTGGCTTCACTGCCAAGTCACTGGTAGTAACACTGTCCTTTACCTTCCAGGATCTGGTGGACTCTGATGTCTCGCACAAACTGCTGCACAGCATAATCCTTCAGGTAGCCGTAGCCCCCATGCATCTGTAGAGCCTGGTTACAGATCTGAGAAGACAGCATCGCCGGTGAAGTGACTTGCGTAGTACCGCGGACAAGTCAGCGACAGAAGCTCGGTAAGGACCCAGGAACCTGGGCTCATTTTTTTTTTTTCTGGTCACCTAATCTCATAACAAAGTCTGGTGTGACAGCAAGGTGCTCTAGTCCCCATCAGTGCTGCTCTCAGTGCTATCATATTACCTAAGTGCTGTTTCACATTAATGGTGCATGTATGTCAGTACGACAGCATGGAAATACCCAGAAAACGCTTTACTAAGGCATTTTTTGCTGCATTTCTATGGTGCAACTGATGCAAAAAGCAAAACGCCAGATCACCATCTAGCGGTCAGTCAGGCAAGGAATCTGGTCAGGGCTCTGGCTTCTACTGAAACATGACTCCATTTCTGTCAACTTCAGACATAAAACATAACAAATAGCAAAAATGCACAGTGCAGAGAAAATACGTTACCTTCTAAATGACACCGATCTAGGGAGTGTCAAGGTGCATATTTCCTTCTCCTTTCTTTTTCTCCCTTCTTGCTTTCTCTTTTCAGGGACATTTTGTAATAAATGTATTTTTCAGTGGTCTAGGAAAGACCACTTGCTACCTAGGAATGATCAGCCTGCAACATGCATATCATCCTTTGAAAATAAAAATGCTCTACTCCCTGCCCTGTCTCCCTGCTTGGTCCCCTAGAAAGGAGTGTAGAAAGCACTAGAAGCCAGGAAGCCTGAACTGTGGAGAAGCTAATCCTGCAGCCTCCACGGGGTGCAGAATTCTGTCTTGTAAAACATCCTGGTCCAGGAATGAGGCTTCTGGCTCAGTGCACATGCTGGGGTCTGGGTCCCTACAGCATCAAACTTCTTTCTGACATCCTGGGCACCAAGAGGGGTCCCCAGGCTTCCCGTTAACGACACCAACTGAGGTGTGAGTAACCTACCGCAAAGCATTCGTCCGTAGCAAAGAGCTTGGCCATGGAGCACAGCACGGCCGCGTCCTCCCGGCCCTCCTGCAGTGCCCGCGCTGCATTGCGAACCATGAGCCGTGCTGCCACCAGGCGCGTCGCCATCTCCGCCAGCCTGAACTGCAGGTACTGCCAGCAGGCAGCACGACAGGGAAAATGAGGTCAGCATCTTTGGAGGGGCCTGGGTCCGGAGCCCCATCCCCACTACCCTCAGGCGGGTCTCAGGCCTGACACGCTTTCTTACTCAGGAAAAGCATGTTCCTGACTTCTCCAGGGAAGACCCTGTGAAGCGAGCGATGGGACCTGTGGCTGCTTGTTCAGCCAGGATCAGAAAGAGCACAGCTCTGGGAGGGCGGATCTGATGGAGAGGTTACCTGATTGTTTGCTAGGGGTTCCCCAAACTGTTTGCGGACAGTGAGATGTTCCTGAGCCAGAAGAACAGAGGCATGAGCAGCTCCTAGCGAACAAGAAGCTGGTGGGAGAAGCCAAGGACACAGAATGAAGCTAATGCAGACAGGCAACATGATCCTGCCCTCCTCCCTTGGCTCTCAGCTGTCTTTCTTACCAATGTTTATCCTGCCTCCATTCAGTCCCTTCATGGCAATGCTGAAGCCCTGCCCTTCAGTTCCCAGCCTGTTGCCAACAGGAACAACACAGTCCTCGAAGATCACAGCCCGAGTCGGCTGGGAATTCCAGCCCACCTGGGAAAAACCAGAGCACCTTCCCTAGTGCCTGAGTTGCAGCACGGCTCCAGCTCCTGGCAGAGCTGCCCAGCCTGCTCCCAACCCCTCGCTCTCACTGCCAAGCTGCCGCAGAGCGCCTGTGGTCCACGTGGTTTGACCTCAGTGTGCCGAGCGGGAAACTGGAGTGCAGGTATTTGAGAAGAGGCACAGATCCAACAAACCTTGATGTTCCCGAGATTAAAATCCTTCACTTACCAAAGGGATGGGTATTGTGCAAACTTCACCAAAGCCGGACTTAGCTTGGAAAAAACACGCCAGGCTGGGACTCCACTCCTATCCTCAAGGAGATCCCTAATGCTTTGCACAGACGAGCTCGTTTCTGTCCTGCACTTCCCCCAAGCACACACGAAGTAAACCCCAAGCCTCTTACCTTCTTCTCTTTCTTTCCAAAGCTGAGCCCAGGTGTGCCCTTCTCCAACACCAGGCAGGAGATGCCCTTGGGGCCTGGGCCTCCTGTGCGACACATGACCACGTAAACGTCAGTGTCACCTCCCCCACTGATAAAGGCCTGCAGAAGGGCACAAGAAGAAAGGGTCAGCTTTCGTATGCTAACGCTGAGCCTGCAGCAGCAGCTGGCTACAAAGGGGCAAGGACCCCAACCACCAGGAGATATTTGGGAATCCAACTGTACCAAGCTCTGGTGAATGCTCTGCAGAGCATGTCCTACCTTGGGGGAATACACAGAGATGAGGAGACAGTAGGAAATGGAAAGGACAGTGAGACCCAGCCCCCCTTGTGCATGCAGTGCCATCCGGCAGCTTTAGGAGGAGCAAAGAGGTACCTTGGAGCCATTCAGAACGTAGGTGTCCCCTTTCCTCTGAGCTGAGGTCAGCAGGGAAGCTGCATCACTTCCGCTTCCTGTTCGGGAGGAAAGGGAGCAGCCAGTGAAGCAGCAGGTCCAGAGCCTGCAAACTCTCCTGGGGATGTACCCAGTGACACTCAGGTTTGTACCACGAGCATCTCAGCCATCACCGGCTGCCCCTTCCCAACTTCCTGGTGACTGCCCAAATGAACACAAAAGGAAAATTTTCACCTCCAGCTCTGTGCAATGTCCAGTGAAACCACGTTAGGAGAGAGGGAAGGGGGATATCTTGGTTGAGGATGCTCACCTGGCTCAGTCAGGCAGTAAGAAGCAAACTTTTCCATGCTACAGAGCGATGGGCAGAACCTGCGCCTCTGTTCCTCATTGCCAAAGGTGTCGATCATCCAAACACACATGCTGGAGCAGGAGAGAAGGAGCAAGTGTTACAGAAGCAAACACAGCCCTGGGAGGAAGGCGGGTTCACACAACAATATCCCTGGCTGAACAGGAGATCAGAGCTCCATGGGGTTCAGTCAAAAGCACCAGGGCTTGAAAGCGTATTGCTCCACCTCAAAACAGAACAAAATGAGGGGCCACAGCAGCCGGGAGGAAGAAGACCGCCTTCCATTCACCAGAGACTCGCTGCCTTGTGGGACAGTGGGTTCCTATTTAACAGCCTCGGCGTTCCCCTCAGCGCTAAGTGCTGCTGTCTCTTCAGAAAACTGTACCTGGAAGAAGGAGGCATCACCACTCCATTTTTCTGTGCAGAGTGAGCCCATCACTCAACATGTCTGTACAAGCAGGATAGGGCCCTGGTATCAGCTGGCGTCTCTGGGCTCTGTCAGAGTATGACCAAAGCACAAAGGCTTTTTCCAGGCAGGTTACTATCTATAGACAGCTGAAGTGGAAGAGCAGGGAACAAGATCCAGAACTTAATCCCATCTCGCATGCCACAAAGCTAAAATTACTTCTTGGTGGCATCTGAGTTTTTGTAGCCTATTTGTTTACCGTCATTAAGAGATCCCCACAGGGACACGTCTACTTGGGGTCCCAACTTTAAATAATAAGCAGCACCAAGAGAGCTGTCTCCAGCTGGATTTAGAGCCCACAGAAGTTTTCCAGCCAGGCTGACACCATCCACCGCTCCGCAGACACACTCACTTGTGGATGCTCATATAAGCAGTGGTGCTGGTACATCCTGTCGATAAAGCTTCAAAGATTACGGAGGTATCAAGTCGTGACAAGCCAGAGCCACCGACGTCTGGTTTCACATAGATTCCACCGAATCCTAGCTGGGCTGCCTTCCGCATTGTTTCCACTGGGAATATTTCCTATTGGAACACGCAGAGACGTCAGAAGTGAATATTCATGATCAATTCAACCTCAGTATTCCATCTCTTCTTTCTACACCTGTGTTACCAAGTTCAGTCCCAAACTCCTGCAGAGTTTAAGTTAATTGGGTGGGTTAAAGAAGAGGTGGCTACCTAGACCGACAGATACCATCTTCAGAAGTAACCTCTGGTCTTCAGGTGACTGAATAGCCTGGCTTTGAAAGCCTCCAGGAATTCCTGAGGGCTTCCCACCCCAGCTACAGCAACAGCTTCAAAGAAAATCTCTGCAGATGGCATTAGAGCACTGAGGAGCTATTGCTCTGATGAGACCCCTCTGATGAGACCCAAGCATCGTAACATCCTAAGGGAGGAAAAAGCGAGCAGTACAACCCTTCTGAGGCTGTCATACCTTTTCATCCCACTCTGCCATGTGAGGAGCCATCTCCTTGGTAGCAAAATCAAGGGCAACTTTTTGGAATTCCTTCTGCTCCTCAGTCAGGCCGGCAGATGCTAGAAAAGCAGGAAGAGATCAGAATACGTGTCTGTTGCGGGAAAGCAAGTGCTACCACTGCTTCTATACCCCAAACAAGTTCAAAGCGTCCCTTAACTCACACCAACAGTTCGGGGTCTCTGCTGCAAAGACCATTTCTCTGGTCCTTGAGGCCATCGCAAACTGTGCTGATAGAGGGCAGAGGGCTTTGGGAAGGGGATCTCTTAGGCAAAGAAAGTTTGGTTTTAGACAAAACAAACCCAAGGTCTTGCTCTCTGCTCAACACAGCCCTTTGGAAGCAGCACCTTAAGTTAGATCTTGCATTTGAAACCTCCTGCTTCACCTGCACGCACACGCGATGTTGTTTTGTTAGTTCCCCTCCTACACTCCGTAGGGATGCTGCTGCTGCTGCTTCAATTCTAAACGCTGTTAGGTTTAAATGTCGAAGGAATTCATCCGGGAAGCGTTTGGGAGGGCTGGAGGAGGAGTCCGGCTCAGGCATGGCGTTATCCCGGTAGGCAGAGCCCAGCCGTCAGAAGATGACTTCAACCACCGGACAAACCCAGACTTAACCAACGGGTCCAGCCAGCCCCCCCTGCCTCCCCAGCGACCCTTCCGCCTTGGCCCCCGTCACCCTGCGCGCAGCCGGGGCAGGAGCGGGGACACCTCCTTCCGACCCCAGCCCGCCTGCCCACCCACCCACCCCCCCCCACCCGCGGGGATCCCCGACTCGCCCCGCCGCGGCGCCTTACGGTCGATGCAGGAGGCGACCCCCCGCCGCCCCCGCCGCAGGAGCCGGGCCGCCAGGCCGGGGGCTGGCCGCCAAGCCATGGCGGGCAGGCTGGGAGCTGTAGTCCTGCCCCCGGCGCCTCCCGTTCGCGCGGTGGCTGCGGGGAAGGAGGCGAGCCGACGGGCCGTGCCTGAGTTTTTGCATAACGGTCACCCACTTCCGACTCCAGGCGGGCGGGGGGGCGGTGTGCTTCCTCCTCCTGCGCCGGGGTTTGGGCGAGGCGAGAGCATCCTTCACCCCGGTGCGAGGTGAGGGGGAGCCTGGGATGGGGTGGGGGGGGGCGGGGGATGGATAGGAGGCAGGGGAGAAGCTTGGCATGGAAGGTGGAAAACTTGATGCCACCCGCCCTGGCAGAAGGAGGCCAGCTCAGAGCCAAATGACTTCTAACGGGCTGCTGGCAGAAGGGGGCAGGGGTTGGGCCAGCCAACTTGCTCCCTTTCCCGAAGGGACTTTGCAAGCATAATCTCCGTGAGCAACAAGCTGAGCCAGACACCCCTGGTGCGAGGCTGGACCAGGCTCTGGAGGCAAGCTGTTCTCCCTTTTCCAAAAGCACAGCTCCCCTCTCGCACGGCAGAGAGGGGCCACGCTTCGGCCAAGCACCTTCGGGCCTCTTTTCCCACAGCTATGCCAGGATGGAGGAAAGCTGCCCTTCTGCTGAGGCCCCTCTCAGAGCCCTGCTGTGGAGGGCCTGCCGCCTCCAACGCGCCCAGGGTGTGGTCCTCAACCAGTGCCAGCATTTGCACTGATAGAGGAAATGGCTGAGCTCAAGGAAGGACATTTATTTCTGCTCCACTTACTGTACAGCTTTTACTGTTCTCTGTCTCGGATTGCTCTACTTCTTTCAGCTTGCCTGAGTAAGTAATTCTTCTTCTCTCATCCAGCAGGTGCTTCTCAGTGAAGAGAACGTAATTCAGAGAGACGAGGGATGCCGTGGCCAAGCAGAAAGAGAGACAAAGGAGCAGTAGCAGGTCTGTGCTGACATCTCTCACTTGAGGTTCCGAGCTATAGTGAAAGTACAGACAGTCATCATAACCGTCTGTCTTTCAAAGCCACAGGTCTTGTAGACAGCATTTCCTCTGTAAAAATGGGCTGAGCATCCATGTGTGACTGAGACAAGTCTGCTAGATATGCAATAGGGACAGTGATGTATTCTCAGCACAAGGCAGTAAAGAAATGGAACTCATGCCCATTTATGAAGAGCTTTCACATCCTTTGTGTTAGAGGTGGTCAGTCAAAGTATAGCCAGTGTAGTGACAGGAAGCTGATGTGGTACCATCTGCAGAAAAATGAAAAAGGATAAACCTTGCACTCAAGGCACCATTCTGTGGTGTTTAGTGCATTAAGATGAAAAAATTGCACAGTTGGCTCATCCATACCACTCCTCTGCTTAACTGACTCCAGCAAATAACCACCTTCTTACCTTTTAATCTCTTCTTAACTGTTTTTTACTGTTTGGGTCCTGGACAAACAAAGATATAAACCCCCTCTGAACAGGTAGCACAGTGGAGGTTTAATGTAAGGTTTCTAGCTAATGCAGTAATTGAAATAGTTTGCTTTGCTGCTGAACTTCCTTGTTATTCACCAGACGCACCTAAATCAACTTTCTTGCCTGCAGCTGATTTCTCAGCAATTAATTAAAAAAAAAATTCAACTGCACTTCATGTAAGCAACATGATCTATCCTGGCCTTTATGATTACCTATGACTATTCAACTGTATTTGTGCACACCACAAAAAAAAAAAAAAATCCTTATTTCAGAAGCTAACTAGAAATACTCAGAAACACAGATGCATAATGCTGCTTCCTTACCCATAGCATCTGGGGTGCACCAAACTTCTGCTGAAGTCAAATACCAGTATGTGAAACCAGCTTGGATGACTAAAATTGTTTCAAAACCAATTCTTCTCAGAAACAAAATTGTGTTTTATATGAATGTTTAGGTTTTGTTTTCAATTGTTTCTTTTAAGATAAAAAAGAGCCTGATGCAAAAATTGCCAAAACGGAGGAGGAGACTCCGGATAAGGAAGAAGAGAAGTCCACAAAACCTCCAGCTGGGAGTTCCAAGTCAGGATGGAAGAATTGGAAGAAGACAAAAGACTCCGACTCCGGTGGGGAGGAAAGCAAGATAATGTATTGTCACTGGCTTCTGAAATCAGAACCCGAGAGCAGGCTGGAGAAGGGAGTGGATGTGAAAGTAAGCACCAACACCCGCCCCTACTTAGCGAAGTATGGAAGCAGTTTCACTACTACCCAGGGCATTAGTGCTGAGTTACAGGATCAGAATATTCAGCTTGTTTGCAATATTAACACTATTGTGTCTTTACTGCTCAAAAACCATTTGCCTTCCTGGAAAGAGAAAGACATACTGTTGTTCTCTTCCAGGGTGACAACTTTGGGGTTTGATACTTGTAATAATAGAGGAAGTCAGGTCCTCAGAACGCGTAGCTGTTGGTAGCAGGGGCAGCATGTATTTCAGACTCTGCTTTTACACTGCTGCAGTGTTCCTCCTTTGTGAAGGCTTTTCTTTAGCCCCTGTGGGAACCAACAAAATTGTGTCAAGTTTGTACTATAATTGAGGGAGCTACTAGGAATAAATGTTTAGGCACAATACAGACAATGACACAGTAGAGATGAGACTACCTCCTGAACTTAACCTGTATTTTCATTCCATTTGGCAGTTCAGCATTGATGACTTGAAAGCTCAGCCCAATCAGACAACCTTTTGGGATGGAGTAAGAAACTACCAGGTAAGGAGCACATGTCAAACATGGAGTCACTGAAATATCACTAGAAAAAAGGTGGCTCTCTCCATGGACAACTTGTTCCCTTTGCCTGAAGGATCTCCTTTGGAGGCACTCTGCCTGTTTCTACAGGTGCATTTTGTCAGGAGTCAAAACTCCTTCTTAATTGCCTCTCGGTCAAAGGTAGATTCAGGCTGGGTAATATTCTGTCAAATCATCCAGTTTTTCTTTAGCTTGGTCTTCAGCTTAGTCCGGCCTTTATTTCCCTTGACACCTTTTGGCAAGTCTGTACTTGCCCAAATACTATGCCTTGTCAGGGCACAGCTTTCCTCTGCCAAGGAAATCCATGTGTGCTTCCCCTACTATAGCTGATCCTGTACTGTAAGTGCCTCCCCCTATACATGATCTGCTCTGCTGCTTATTTACTGACAGCTAACTTAAGTCTTCTGCTATCTCGGAAGGAGGGTGGCTGAGCTTCTGAATTCCCACATACTTTCTAACCAACAGGATCTTACTCTTCAGCCTTATTTTTACTTCATTGCAGCACAAAACAACTGTAGGAAACCTTATCTGAGTATCTCTGAAGCACATACACGCCTCTTGCTAGTTCTTGTTCCTAGCTACTTAAAATAAGACCCTGAGAGCCTGATACAAAGAGCTCAAAGTCTCATGTTTATACCTGACAGGCAAGGAATTTCCTGAGAGCCATGAAACTTGGGCAGCAGGCCTTCTTCTACCACAGTAACTGTAAAGAGCCTGGCATTGTTGGCATTGTCAAGGTGAGTGCCTCTTTTTCCTTCTGTGTTTCAGGGAGAGGGGTGTGAAGTAATAATCGATGGGTTATCAAACAGCTCATTTAGCATTGTCTCTGCACCAAAGGAGCCCAGAAGTTGTCCAGTCAGAGCAGCAAACGAGCCTAGGGCGTCTAGGCTCAACAGTTCATCACAGCAGGGCTGACTCAGGCATCTTTCCCCAGAGAAATGGAACCAAACTGCTGTTTTCCTGCTGACATTTCAGAGCTTCCAGCCAAGTCAAGTGTTGCTCCATATTCTGATTAAAATCTGATTCACTACTTTCTAGTCAGCTGAGCCTGCAAGGCAGTAGTATAAAATCCAGGGCACAGAAAAGCTTTTAAGAGGAGAACTCGTCACAAAGACTATCATCATCTACCCAGTTTTCCTGTTTTGCATGCTCCTTCCACACTGCTCTCCGAAGAGGTGATGATGCTCCGCAGCACATCTACCCAAGAAATGTAAAGAAAGGAAGTGTATCGCACCATTAGAACGGAGTTCAGGGAAAGCAAGGCTGATTTTTGCACGAGGGTCATTCCTTACGTCTAGTCACAGCTTGCTCAAGGGCATTTCAAACCCTTTGCTGACAATAGTTTTTAACTGATGGGAACTTGTCTCACATTCTTCTCCCCTTCTGCTTCAGATCGTAAAGGAGGCATACCCTGATCACACACAGTTTGATCAGAAGGATCCTCATTATGATTCCTCCAGCAGAAAAGAGAACCCCAAATGGTCCATGGTAACGTAGTCAACTAACTACAGCTGTTCAAGCTCTGTGTGCAAGCTGAGTGAAGGTAGAAGCCTCTCTGTGTCATATGGCATATCTTCTTGTGCTTCTGTCCTAGCCTAGCTATCTTTTTCTCCCTCAAGAGAAAATCCGATCTTGATTGTTTTCTCTACCTTTTCCCCTCCTCTTCCAGAAGGCTGCCAAAATGTATGTCCCTAAATTTTCCAATCTTACTTGGATGCAGAGCTGACCTCCGTGCATGGCAGAATTCTGGGCTAGCAAAGAGAACAAACATCTTTAAGTACCACTCTCGGTCTATAGCAAACAAAGCTGTAGTTTTGAGGCACGTTAAATTATAGGGAAGTGACTGTTCACAGGCCAGCTGCATCCCGCATCTTAATTAGGTATTGTCTGTGACAACATGAATATGTGTTGCCAGTGCACAGTGCTAAGATTCATGTAAACAAATCACCTGCCAGAAGCATCTGAAAGTTCTTTTAGCCTTGAGCAAGGGAAAGCTTCCATACCGTTATAAGGTAGTACACATCAGTCCTTTGCTTCAGTTTAAAACCTTTATCCCCCCTGCAAGAGCTTA